CCAGTCTGTCTCTCCATCTTCTCCACTCTTTAATTGTGCAGGTCAAGTCATAGTTTTCCGTCCATCTGTTTGTAGCGTCTTCTATGGGTGACAAAGGAAAAACTCTGAATAAATGAGTGGAGAAACACAACAAATTGTACAGCTGAAAACGTACCATCCTATCTTGCCCTGTGACGTGGATGGAATAGCTGATAAGGCCGAGTTTACCTTGATTTTGAATCAGGAAGGTATGAGGAAAAAAATTCAAAGGGCATATGAAAGATTGTTTATTATTGATCTCTTCCAGGAAGACAAAGTCCCCTTTCATAGGGGACAGTGAATGGCTTGAGGAGTATGGATCTGATGTAAATCACATGCTTTGACTTTCAAAGTCATCAGATCTCAGACGATTTTGGACCAGTATTCTCCACCACCAGGCACCACCTGGCAGGCTGTGGTGGCCCAATATCTTATTATGTCCTGTCACATTATTACTATATATTTTATAATTTCTATCATCTATCAACAGTCTCCTCATCTGGAGCTAGTTGCACCAGCTGTTAATGGGTTCAAACTTAGCTTAGTTATAATGTAAGTGGAGATTTATGCGTTACTGAATTTAAATGGATTGTGTCACACAAAATTATTATGTAGAGATTAGTTGTTATTAAATATTTACACCCAGCAACTGCAAGTTGTAACTGAACTAGCCTCAATTCACAGCTCTAACCATAGCTTGCTATCATATATGACCATGTATATATGACAGCCCTAAGCATAAGATATTTAATAACACTGTCAACATCTAACATTTGATCAAAACTATGGTTTAATAATGATGTAACCTGGGAAGACTTTAAATTACATTGTACAAAAGCAGTGACGTCGTAGTTACTAAGAACTTAACTTACTTTAAACTTGGCGGAGTATTCATGGATAGCTGCTACAGCCGAATCACTTTCTAATCTGTTATTTCACCTATTCCAACGCATGCCTCGAACACCGTTTGTTTCCATCAGCCTTTTTCCGTTGCTCAGTCTATTGGCTTCTCTTGTTCCTTGTCTCCGTACTGTGCTTTTTTGATGAGAACTGCAACAAGAAAAAAGAAAACTATCTATTCTGGCACTTTCCAGCTGTGGGCACCTTAAACTTGAATTTTAAGGACGCCAGGGACTTTGAATCTGTTACACGGGGAAATATTCCCCTGGTGATTTTGAGGAACTTCAAAAACAACTGCAATAAAAAAAAAAGAGGCACAGCAGGAGAAGGAAGTTATGGGCCATTAGCTGGACTATAAATGTTAGTACCACAGGTGTTTCAGACATGCACAGTTCAACTGGGACCAAATGAAAATCCTAGTCTCTGTGACACCTGAAATGCAGTTGCAGCACCCTCCAACAAGAATAGAAAAAAATCACTGTAATGCTCTCATAATATTCCTCTGGAAACTAATAGCTTGGCTGAGGTGGTCAATAATGTCCTTGCAATGGGTGTGTTGTATTTTGAGATTTTTATCTCCTGCGGTGTCAGTATTATATTCACACAATATTCCTTCAGGGAATTATGTGCCTGCGGTAATCAATAGTGAGTTTACTATGACCTGATTGTACTGACGGCATGCAGTGGTCTCTCTCTGTCTTTTTCTCTTTTTACCCCTGACTCTCTAGGGGAGTCCCCGGCTAGAGTGAGAAGAGGGGGGGGGGGGGGGGGGGGGGGGGTGGGGGGGGGGGGGGGGGGGGGGGTAGTAATATCCTCCAACAAGGATCATATCTGACACAGGATGTCATTTTCTAGAGTTTCTCCTCTTTCCCCAGTGCACCCAATTGCGTGTAAACACACACGCATCAAGTTGTCCACTCACTGTAATCTCACTAGCTTATGCATCCTCTGCAGCCTTTACACAAATACACTGAGACACATGGCACCCGCTGGCACACACACTTTAAAACTCTTCCTCCTCGCACACACACAAAATGAGAGAGAACCATCATGGGGATATTAATGGAGCCAGAGACACAGACGGAGTCAATTGAGCTTTTAATAGAGCATCTCCTCTTCCTCTCTATGGATAAATAATACAGCAGTCAGCAAATCTAGATCTAATAGATGATATTGACCTTTGGGGGAGGAAAAGGGAAGAAAGAGTGAGCGCCGGGACAGCACAAGCAGAAATGGAGAGAGAGTGAGACAGAGAGGAAAGAAACGGAGCCGAGAGAGCAGCGATGCAGGGGGATACACACAAGTGTCAATAGAAGCGAAGCGCTCAGACAAAGCATCTTAATCAGAATGCGACGAAGTGGTGATCAATCACGAGGATGACGATGAAGCAGCCAGTTGCAGAGCCTGGAGAGGCCCTGACCTCAGCTGCACTGCAGATAGAGCAGAGAGGCTGGTTGGGCAGCACTGGACCTAAGAGACTCTCCTTCTTTGCTTTCATTCTGTGTCCCTCCTTCCTGGCTGCATTGTGTCTTCCGTGCCTCTTCTGTCTTTTTGTATCCCCCTCTTTCCATTTTGATTACTCTCTGCTGTTTCATCTCTCTGCCCCCTCCGCCTCCCTCCCTTTCTTTCTCCCTATATTTCTGTCTGGTACCCACCATCTGTCATCCGTTGTCTTCCTCTGTCACCCCAACCCCCCTCTCCCACTCATTTTCACTCCCTCAATCCAATTCAAGGAGCTTTATTGGCATCATAAGATGAATTTTACTGTCTCTCTGTCTCTCTTTCTGGAACATTTGTCTTCCTCTTACTAATTCTCCACTTTTGATGCTACTCCACAAAACTCTGCTGTGTCCTGTACAGGGCCGCACAAGTCATGGCCAGTCAACAGTGAGTCCAATACACTCTATCACATCAATACTGAAGCCAAGGCCATGTATTCTTTATTACCTTGCTCATGAACAAGCGGGATGAAACTAAATGCTACTCATCCCAGGTTGTTTTACAAGTATACGAGAGGTATGGGTGTTGGGATGTAAAGAAACAGCCAGCTTAATAAAATGTCTAAAAAGTAACCTTACAGCCTGAGATGGCCTTGAAAGTGACTTTTATGTGTATAGTGACACCATGTGGATATGCCCTGTAACAGATTTAAACACCATTATGCCACAATGTGCTGTTCATGCTGCAGGAACATCTGAAAAGCATTTCTTTTTTTTTTTGCTCTATCTCTCTATCTTCTTCTGTAAATATATACCTTTAAATAATATAGATTTTGACCGATTGTAATATATTCGAAATAAAAACATGTGTATAAGCATAAGCTATTTCATACATTATGAAACATGTGTCTAATCATATGGTTGAGTCCTATATATATATATATATATTTTTTTTTTTTTTACACCAGAGGCATAGTGAAGTGGCTTGGTGTTTAATTTAAGTTGGTTTTTACTGTATTACGATAAAAAAAAAGTGATCCATCTGCATGTCTGCACTGAATTAAGTGGCTTAGTTGATTCCTAAATGCCCCAGGGTCCCAGAGAGTGTCCCAGCGGGACCCCACCACATAAAAGAATAACAAAGGAATAAAAATATTAACTGCACTCTATAATTTTCATGTTGTTATTTCCATATCAGATTATTTTGCTCAGATGTCTGTAGCTAGTGTAGAACTAAGCTGTAACATTACACATTCCCTCAGATGTTGTTACTTGAGGCATGATCATATCAAATAAGGGTCAGATAAGAGTCATCCCATGTGTAACTACTCTAACCTGGACTTGTGAGGGAGCTGGAAACGCGCCTCTAGTACTTTTCCAAGAGAAAAGTCAGCACTTTGTCAGAGGGACTTCTCTCTGTATCCAGGAAGTGACGGCGAGGACTTAATGGGGTCGAAACAAGCCGAGGGAGGTCGTCCAGTCCCTACAAAAGAAGTTGGGTGGAAGAGAAGCTCCGTCAGGCTAGCCAGAGACAGACAGACGTATACGGGAAGTTTTAATGTTAAACCTTCAAAATAAGAGCGCACAACCTGGGTAGTGGAAAAATATACATTTATTATATGTACTCAACAATAACCTTTGGCATGCAGCATCTAGAAAAATGCATATAGGCAAAAATTTCTGCTGATAGCTAAAGTGGGTGCCCATGAACAAAAAGCAAAAATGAGCTGCTGGACCAGTCTTCCCTCCCACTTTCTGTGAAATAGCCTACAAGCACAAATCTGTATCTGACAATGAGCAGATACAGTTACACCCTGTCCACAAGGAGGACCCATTACTAGGAATCATGTCATTTACTGTGCTTCAGTGCTGCATATTCCTAAAATATTTTCAGTAACACAAACCACTTCACAATGGGACAGGAGCCCTCTGGGCCCTGCATTCGCAGAAGAGGTACAGCGGTTTTCACAGACTGAGTAGTACTCCTTATGATGAATAAACTGGACTTCATATGTAAAATCATTGCCCTTTAACTTTAACAGATATTGAGCCAATACAGGGAACACTAGCCTCTATGACATGACTTCATGGTTGTCATTGGTTTTAGTAAGGCCCTAACAACATTAACATTTTTTAAGAATCACATAAAACAAGATAGAGAAGCTAATTCAAATAACCTGATAAGGAATTGTAAAATGCATTTTGTTCTGCCTTTGCACTGGCGACATGAATTTCTACAAATGTACAAATGTTCACTTGGACTCGAGGATGGTTAAGGTTAAGGTCACTTCGACCTCACAAAACACGTTTTTGGCCATAACTCAAGAATTAATATGCTAATTATGACAGTTTAATACAAATGTCTAACTGGATAAATGATGACATTTTATATCCAAATGGTGAAAGGTCAGTTATTCACTGGTGTAACTCAGTAACGGAGATTGTGAGGGATTGTGACCGTATTTCCTGTAACTTGAGTGGTTGATGGAGTCTTACGACCTCAGGTGTGTAATTCTAGTTCTACGTTGCTTGTACCTCCTAGAAAAAGCAGCAAAGATTTTTAAACCCGCGTTTTATTTTGAAAATGTAAACCGGAAAACCTGTGTCGCATTATGTCTCTTCACTTCTCTCTGGCTATGGGAAGGTGGTCCCGGTCGAAAAACACCGTCCAGAAAAGCAACCGACGGGGCTACTTTGCATGTTTTTGTATAGTCCCTTCAGACTTTCAAACATCTCCCAAAAACAAAACCACGAAACTTCGTAAAACTGACACAAAATGATGCCAACAGAGGAAGTGGTGGATTTTACGTGTTTGTCCTCGGGAATAAAGTTTGGAAACTACGAGGTGAAAATGGAGAGCTCAGCTGAGTGAGAGTGGGGTGAGGAGGCTGGATTTGGCAAAGTTGGGAGTCCTGCCCTGCTGCTAGCAAGCTAGTTAGCATGCTTAGACACTTCGCTATCTCGGATAAGTTATGAGGTGAGACTGAAAGTCACTTTTACACTTATAATGTCGGGGTTAGTTGTGAAAGTTTTTCATAGACTGAACTAATGTTAGCTTGTGTTGTCGAATAAAACCGTCAAATGTGTTTTTGGCTATAGAAAAAAACATTGACATGAGTAGGGCCTGGTCATTTTTTAACTTAACAAAGTCTTAATTCAGTTGTGGATAAAGTTTCTTATATACATTTACTTTGTCATGGTTTCTTGTCATTTATAATACTTTCCACTGTATTTTGAGGGATGTTTAGAGTTGATTTGCTGTTATTATGTCTGACAATGTAAAGTCAGTAGATAAATATTTTGTACTGAATACTTCTAAAAATATATCAAGCAGACTTACAACTTGGATACTCGGATATATGTGGCCATCTGTGACAGTGCTGTCATTTCTCACAATGCCAAAGCATTCCCTTGTTTTTTTGGCCATTTCAAAACATGTCCTGATAGCTGTGATCATATTTTAGCTCATAGTTTCATAATATGTTCTTCATCACACAACCTTTATGCAAAATCTGTTTAGGTCAGTTGCTGGTTATGGGTAATGTGTATTTAACTTAAATCTTAGAAGGCTGTTCATGTCATGTCAGCATTCAGCATATACGCAGACATAGTGTCCATGTATTTGTTGAGCCTAACCATGAACACTTAAGTTTCATATTTCATTCTGTGTTCTGCATTTCAGCCTTCCCTCTGCTGTTATCCAGCCCGTGATTCTCCTGGGGAGCTGCTTTATCTGTGGCAAGACCGCTGCTGACACTACAGCTTCTGCCGATGGATTCAAGCATAGTTGATGATCTTATTTTCTGTGGAAGCTCTGCATGAATCCTGAAGATGACGTTGCATTTCTCCTAAAGGCAACCCCACTTAAACCCGGTTTCAGAGAGGCTCGATATCCCGGGTGCAACACTCCTTCCCCCTCCCTTGATCAATCATTTTTTGTGCAGTGAGCATCCATTCTAATTCAGCTCATGCAATTTTCTCCACAAGTTTCAACATTTTACAGCATCTGAGATGGGGCCCTGCTAGCTTCTTCAAGGGGCTTGAGGCACCCCCTGGCTGCTGACAGTGCAGCCTGGCTGTGTGTGTGTGTACAAGAGTCATCAGCACAGGTTTATAAAAGAATACTGTAACAAAAATACAGCCAATGATAAAGTGCTTGCGGGTGCAGCCAGGACACACAACGTGCTTGCCAAAATGCATTCATGAACTTTAAACTGGACTTAAGTGGATGTATTGGTTGTATTCATGAACCTTGACTGCTGATGCCAGCTCATTGGGACTTGAGTGGGTGTAATCAGCTTTATTCATGAACCCTCTGTCTCAGTCTGGGTATAGCCTGGATGTTGGATGCCCTGAGTGTGTTGAATCAGCTGTTGCTGTGATGAGGCAGGGCTCCTGGTGGCCTGTGTGGCTGGCTGGGCAGTGGCCCAAGGTGATGTGATGGGGTGCAGGAACAGTAAGGTCCTCCCTGAGCCTCCAGGGGATGTTCAGTTGGACCTGGTCAAAAAGGTCAGTAAAACACAATATTGTAATTGTTTTTTGTGTTTATCAGTTAATTGCCTAGTCTCTGAAATATCATAAAACAGTGAAAAAGGCCTGTCACATATTCCGAAGGTCCAAAGTGACATCCTCAAATGTTTGTTTTGTCAGGCCAGTGGTTCAAAACCCAAAGATATTGAATTTACAGTGACATAAAACAAAGAAGAGTAGCAGTTCTCACTTTGGAGGAGCTGGAGCCAAAAAATGTTCAGTGTTTTTGCTGGAAGAACAACTTAAATCATTCATCGATTTTCAAAACAATTAACAATAATTTTAAGTTCCTGCTTCTTTAATATGGATGTTTGCTGGTTTTCTGAGTCTGAGATATTAACTAGGCCTGGGCGGTAAATGATATTGACTGACTTCATCAATAGCAATAAGAAAATTGTTTTTATAGAAAGTTGATAGTTTTGTGGTTGCTTGAACAAACCTCAAGCATGTTCGCTCCCCAGCTGAGTCCTGGACTGTTCGTCAGACAAAATAAGACATTTGAATATGTCATCTGGGATCTGGGAAATCATCACAGCCATATTTTACTATTTACTCAATGAATAAAGACAATGCGCATAAGTTTACAAAAAAAAGATGATCAAATTCAGCCGTACTACACACAGACACCGCAATACAGCTTCAAAACTCCAGTATGGGGCTGTACAAACTAGACTAGTGTCTACACAGAAGGCCGGAGTGAATGTGACCCACAGCATATTTTCATGCTTCAAATCTATTATAAGTCTACTACAGTGATGTGTGTGATGAGCTGCTGAACACCTCCTGTGTAGACACACACAGCACCTGCGCCATCACACTCTGCACCTCCTGCGTACACAGTGTTAGCGTCTATACATCAGTATTTATACATCTGTCAATTTATTTAATCTTTTCTCCACAGAAAATTGATCCATTGTTATATTTATGCTCTGATTTGTAATTTCCTCCTGTGATGAACTGTTTTCATGTATTTTTCAGGTTGATCCTCTCCAACCCCCACAGACAGATATCTTTAAGCACTTCATACGAGGGGATGGCACTGCAAGCAAGATGGGCGGGGCTGGTGGAGGGGGCATTGACAAGGCTGACTCCACTTCCCCATATCAGGCCCAGGCACAAGCTGCCACTCCCACCGCTTCCGCCCAGCCACCCAAGGACCCATGTGAACTGTCGGACCCTCAGCGGAAGAAGGTGGCAAAATATCGAGCCAAGTTTGATCCCCGGGTCACAGCCAAATACGACATCAAAGCTCTGATAGGGCGAGGGAGTTTCAGCCGGGTCGTTCGTGTGGAACACAAGAGCACACGGCAGCCGTACGCTATCAAGATGATTGAGACCCGTTACCGGGAGGGGAGGGAGGTGTGCGAGTCAGAGCTGTGTGTTCTCCGACGCGTTCGTCATACCAACATAATCCAGCTGATGGAGGTGTTTGAGACGGCGGAACGCGTCTATATGGTGATGGAGCTTGCCACTGGAGGAGAGCTCTTTGACCGGATCATCGCTCGTGGCTCCTTCACAGAGCGGGATGCCACGCGAGTGCTGCAGATGGTGCTGGATGGCGTCAAGTATCTCCACACTTTAGGGATCACTCACCGCGATCTGAAGCCGGAGAACCTGCTCTACTATCACCCTGGGGCCGATTCCAAGATCATCATCACCGACTTTGGTTTGGCCAGCAGCAGGAAGAAGGGAGACGAGTGTCTGATGAAGACCACCTGCGGCACACCAGAGTACATCGCGCCCGAGATCCTGGTGAGGAAGCCCTATACAAACGCAGTGGACATGTGGGCGCTGGGGGTGATATCATATATCCTGCTGAGTGGAACAATGCCCTTCGAGGACGACAACCGCATGAGGCTCTACCGACAGATCCTCAAGGGGAAGTACAGCTTCTCTGGAGAGGTGAGGAATTAGATCTGTGTCACACTTTTCTCTCTCCCTCTCCCTCTCTCTGTCTCTCTCTCAAACACGTACACATACCCACTCCAGCAGACTTCACCCATATTTGGACTACATTCCTCACACCGCATGAGGCTTTGTCAACAGATTTCCAAGAAGTTCAGCTTTTCTTGTGTGGTGACATGGTTTTAACCGAGAGACACACTTTTTCACACAACCAACCTTTTGCACTTAACTCCTCATCTCTCAGTGCATGTCCATTTCTATCTTATGTACCTTCTCCCTCACCATACTCACTTTCATTTATTTGTTCTCTCTATGTCAATAAGCCCTCCCTCAGTGTGCGCCCAATAATTTATTCTCTATCTGTGTATGTAGTTGGAAGAATGCTGAGTTGTCCTTTCCTTTGTTTCATAGCGTGGGATGTTTATGTTGCCAGTGAGCTTTACAAAAGAGGCCCTTGGTTAATGTTTGCCCCACATACAGCTACTCCAGCACAAATAATAGCTGAGTGGTTTTGTACTAAGGAGCAGTTGAATCATCTCAGTTTTTATTCCTCCACGCAAGCGACAGCCGGAGGCATTATATTTTTTGGGTTGTCTCTTCGTCTGTTCAATTCTCGTGAACGTGATATCTGAGGAACGCCATTTCTTCAAATTTGGCATGAACGTCCACTTGGACTCAAGAATGAACTAATTCGATTTTGGTTAGTCAAAGGTCAAGGTCACTGTGACCTCACAAAACACGTGAACTCGAGTTCATATTCAGTTCCTTCAAAGTTCTTCACTCCATGTATTACATGAGTCTGGACAGACACTGATGTAAACTGCAACTGGACTGGTTGGCAGAGGCATAAAACTGCAAGGTGTTAATTGTAGTTTGTGGATGAGTTCAGATTTGAACTTCTCAACTGTCTGGCAGGTAAGATAAGGTCAAATCTGACACATTTAATAAGGTAAATCTCTACCACAGAACCTGTATTTTAGCTGAGGTTTGCAAATAGTAAAGCGGAGCTGCTGGATGAAAACGAGATACGTCCAGGGAGTTGTCTTTGAGATTGTTCAGAGTTCATTGAAACTTACTATCATGCATTTTTAGGATGATTCAGTGGGTATTGACTAGATCTGGTTGTCACATAAAAGACAGTTTTTCACATGAGAGTTAAAACAGAGAAGTCCCTGTTCTCTGTCAATACAGGTTCATTATTCCTGTAAAGATCATCCATCATATTCTTGTCTGAAATGCAGGGGAGGGAAGGCAAGATGATGGCTTGACTTAACAAGGTTGTAAGCAGCTCACAAGGACGAGTATGCCTAAAATCCAAGTTCAAGCAACAAGTCAGGTTTCCCCACCTGCCAAATCCCACTATAACCCCTGGTTTTATCTTTTCTCTTTCTGCTATTGCTATTGTTAAGATCCGAAAGAATTACTCCCTTTACTCACTTAATTTATTCTTTGTTGAGGCTTTGGTAGAGAAAGCCCTGCCCTGTAGAGTTTCTTGTCAACAAACAGTACCATTGTTTACATGCATGTTTGCTAGCTGGCAGGCTTCTTCTTCCTTACCTTTGTGGTGCATTGCGATTTTTTGGCACATTATTATCACCAACTGCCAATCACTGGACTAGGGTAAAATCACAGATATGTGTATTTTGGCACTTCATGCTTGTGCATGCGCATGTCTCTTCTTGTGTGCATGACACATCTGCATGAACATCTGTAAGCTCCAGCTTCTTAACTGTGAGGATTTGCTGCTTTTCCCTGTTTTAGATCATTGTTAATTGTATATCTTTGGACTTTAAACTGTGGAGTGGTTAAAACAATCATATTGAAGGTATCATCTATAGCTCTGAGAAATTGGGATGAATACTTTTTGGATAATATGCTTTGTTTGGGGCATTCAGTAGCCTAGTGGTTAAAATGCACCATATAAAGGCAACATGTCTAGTTCAGTTCTGGCAGGGGAGCTTCGTTGCATGTCACATCCCTTCCTCTCATCCATGTGTTTCCTCTCTTTAATTCTAATGTTGCAAATAATACCATAAACATAATATTTAAAAAATGTGTGCTATGTTCTTATGATGGTTGTGCAGTCATAACTGAGGACTAGAACTATTCATTTCATAAAGGGGTAATTTTATCTCCCTGCGTCACATGCAATACAAGAACTCACAATTATTATTACATCACAATGGATGGCGGGGAGTCCTGTGATGTTTTAGTCTAGTTTAAGAAAACCCTGTCCTGAGGGTGTATGAGAGTTGAAGCTGAGGTGGAGTAGACCTGACTGCATTTCCCTTGGGGACATATGTCTTTACAGCTGTGATAAATAACGTTCACATTTACAGCTGCAGCCCAAGAATGAATCACAGCCTGGACATTGTTGTAAGTGGGGGAGAAATGTATGTCTGAGGGTCATATATGTGTCATGTATCTTTAGCCAACACTGGTGATTTACCTTCTGTGTGAAGGAGGGGAAGGGGGTTAGTTGTCTACTGGGAGACTGAAAACACAGCTGGTTGCCAAGCAGGACATCATGTAGGACACACACTGTGTGTGTGTGTGTTGTGTGTTTGTGTGTTAAGTCATGCAGCGTTGATATTCCCAATTCCTATCTAAGTAGGGGGTAGAGTTCGACCCACTACCCGTCACTCATACTGAATAGAGTCCAAGTCTCGGACAGAGGCAGCAGCAGCTGTCAGAAACATTTGCTTTAAAGGACATTTTATTTTACATTAGATCTTTTAGGAACATGTCATTCTGTTCAAGCAGAATGTATGCAAAGAATCAAGCAGAGGCACGTCAAATTCAGACTCATTACTGAGTCTGACAATATTAAAGAAGGCACTGCATGTATAATAAGCCAAAATAACTAACATGGTGTAAAACTTTGTATCAGTTGCAGGCTCAACATACTATCAGCTTTACTTTGTTCTGCTGCCCTCTTGTGTTCAGTGGACAGAGCTCACTATAGATTTTCAACTATTGTTTGAAGTCCCCCTCGACTCAAAAATGTATTGCTTCATTTTGATGTTTGACCTTGTGCAGAATGTATGTGTTTGACACGAGAAGCCTGTTCGACATTCGTCTGCTGAAGAGTGAAAGTTTCTCTGTGCTCACCTTCAGTCTCAGTTTAACACGTGTACGTACAGGAATAATTTTGTGTCATCCCAACTGGAAGACAATCTTGGGCCAATATGTAACTTACACCTGCAGGTCACATACATTGAGAATTGACTTTTTATTCAAGTAGGAGACGTGCATATGCTCAGCAGTTTAACTTTTGGAATGAACAATATTTGCATATTCATAGATTTTTTTCAAAGAGGGAGAAAGGAGTAGATGTGTGGAATTTTTAACTAGTTTCCGGCACATTTTCTGTGGGAAAAAACATGTCAGACACAAATTATTATTCAAAGCAGAGTATTTTTTATGTCTAAATATATAGTATGCCTTGAGGGTATCTTCAGAAAATATCCACAAAACTTCCTGCACTATAAAAATTGTTGTTCTCATATTTTCTGCTATTTTGCTCTATTTTCTTCACTCTGTCAAACATAGAAAGTTTCTCTTATTTCCATTTAATTACCTGTTATTTTCATTTGCCTTTTATTGTTTCCTTCACCTTTATTCTTGTGTTATCTCCTTTACATTCTTCATGTATTGTCACTTTAGACAGTTTGACTTTTTAATAGAAGAAGAGACACAGGTGGAATTTATAACATTAACGATGTCTCCTCTCCAATAATTGTTGCAATGCGATGCAGCAATTAGGCACGATATTAGTTACACCTGTGCAACATGGCTCTGTGCCCACACCTATATATATTACTGGCACTGAAATCTCATTTTACTCACTTTGTTAACTACAGTCTTGTCTCATGTCTGTCTTCTAGCCATGGCCCAGCGTCTCCAACCTGGCCAAAGACTTTGTGGAACGAATTCTAACAGTGGACCCCAGCGAGCGGCTCACAGCTGGCCAGGCCCTCAAGCACCCCTGGATCGTCAGCATGGCCGCATCTTCCTCCATGAAGAACCTACAGCGCTGTATATCTCAGAACCTCCTGAAGCGGGCGTCTTCACGCTGCCACAGCACCAAGTCAGCCCAGTCCACGCGCTCCAGCCGCTCCACCAAGTCCAACAAAGCTCGGCGGGTGCGAGAGAAGGAGCTGCGCGAGTTGAACCGTCGCTATCAGCAGCAGTACAATGGCTGAAATGGGGACCGTGAGGCCAATGACTGTAGCGGCCCTTATACTTTAAGGGAAACAGCACTGCAATGACTGAACCTTTTACAATGACTACCACCATTCTAAGTTGCTGCCAGTGTTAAAGGCCAAAATGGCTTAAAGTCCCAAATCATCAAAAAAACAAACAAAAAACAGGGAAACAACTTGACTAAATCAGTGGCTACAAGCAAAAGAAAAATTAAGGATGAAAATTAACTGCTGCCTGTTGAGACTATAGAACAAGTCGAAAAAGATTCCTGATCCATAAAGACAGTGAAATCAATGAATTCCTATGGCACTGTGTCTCCTGATGAGAGCACAGAAGAACACACCAGTAAAGTATTGTACTGCAACGGTTACATCATCTCTCCATCCATTCCTTCACCTTTCCTTTGGCAGGATGGTGCCTTCCACTACTTTCATTTTGTCTTTCAATTCCTGTGTCTCTACATATTTATTTATTATTGTTGACATGATTATTAGTCTCCATTCAAATGGTCACTGGATAATGACCTTCCACGAGGATCTGTTGAACAGAGTTCTGGGTACTGAAGTTTCTAAGAAGAATGGGATACTTTGAGAAGTGGGGAAACCAAATCCCCGTCACTCATTCCTGATTTGAAAATTGCTGTGAATTTATTATTGTACTAATTGTACAGACCTTTTTTTAAAGATATGGGTGATGGAAACACACTGCAACATAACCACACCCTTAAAGGCCAAAATGAAGGTATATTTTTTATTAGTCAACTGTAAGCATATCTAATCTTGCAATTATTGCTCTGTTAATATCATTGTTCTAAAGCTGTCAAAAGATTGTGAAGCTGTCTTCTATCCGTGTTTAATCTTAAATGTATTGTATTAGATAATAGGCCACAGAGCCCCACTCCGAATTATTTGACTTCACTCGTGAAGTATCAGCTATGAGCCTGTGCTTGTATTACAGTATTCAAACATTTCATTAGACTTGATAGTGTTCAGTAGTCTTACAGTTTACTTATTGGTAACAGTGAGAATGACACATGTTCTTAGAGCAGCAATAAAGGCAAAAAGCTTAGTTATAGAGAGCTACTGATGTCAGTTGTACCAGCTCTTTGTGAGTTCAGTCTTCGCCTAATTGGCGTATTCTGAGTGAGATTTACGCAGGACTAAATTAAAATGGGTTGTGCCACAGAAACTAATTCTTATGTAGAGATTTATTGTGACTAAATATTTACACACAGTAACTGTCAGGTATAACTGTTATGCAGTTAGCATGTGTACATAATGTACATATACATAATGTTAGCTTGCTAACATGTTTAGATTGATGATTAAAAGAGGTAAAATTGAATGTGGCTGAACACTTCATCATAATGCTGTTTTTACTGTTAACTGTTAGTTAATTTTTGTTAGTTACATTAGCACTTATGATGCTAGTGACTTTGCTAGCAGTTGACGTAATTTTACCGTCTTAGTTTAAATGGTACAACCCAATTAGCTTGACACTAGCAAGTAGTTGCTAAACACTTAAGAAGGACTTTACTCACAAATGTATTCATGGATTTATGAATAGCTGGTGCAACCCAATCCTAAAGACCTGCCATCTTTTCTAGCTAGCCTCTGTTCCCACCTGACTCAGCCACTGGCACGCTGTCAAAGTAATTGTTAAATTGGATTTTTTTTTTCTCTTAAAATGACAAGAGAAAATTAGATTTTACTAGACAGTTTAAGAGGTAGTAGATATTTACATAGCACACAATATCCCAGAGACATAAAGACTTTCAGAATGGTGAACCCGTTTGGACATAGTCATAGTCACAGGCTACCAAGGAGCAGAGGGGACTTTGACTTTCAGTAGTTTGACAGAGCCTGCGGCTGAGGCACAGCTCATTTTCTTCAGTTTTCGGTGGTTGTTTGTACAGTCACTTTAGGCTGGGCAGATTGTGTCCCTAAACTTCTATCCTGACTCAAGATCAAAATGAAGGAAACCACAGAAGATAATGAGGAGCATGTAGCAGTGAATCAAATGGCCATGAATACATATATTTTCAAAAGATGATTTACAAAACATAGCACATGCAACTACACAGTCTTATGCAGAAGGTTTTTTTTTTTTTGTTTGGAGACATTATTTTTTCTCTTTAAGTGCACTTAATTCAGAATTAATTCCAATCAATTCTGTCCATTTGAGTCTGAATCATAATATGTGCAACACCTATCGTGTGGATAGTTGGCATCCTCACGTGATAAGGTGTTGTGACCACGGCACTACTCATAGCTGTTGACATAATAGCAGTACTCTGAAATGAGGCTAGATTAGGAATTTTAGTTTTTGTAGTATTGAGGTAAAGTTTAAAGAGTAAAAGGCTGCATCACAGTTAAACGAATTTTCTGAATTTACTAAACAGATTAAACGTGAAGTGAACAAGAGGATGTTAGGGGTTTACGACTGATTACAAATGATTCTCAGACATTTCTTGCATCTAATGATCTTCATTCCCAAATTGGTCAAAAAATTTGATATTAGATTTTTATTGTGCCCAGAAATAACACAAACCAAAGATTCAGGATAATTTCTGGGTCTCATTTTCCTTTTATTTCTTTTATCTGGCAAAGCACTTCATGTATAAAGTTTAATTGAGTTTTGTTTATTGGACCTGTTCACTGTGTTTTTATGTATTCGTCCCTTCAGAAGACTCCCAGAGTAAATCAGATGGTACAGTGTCATCTTTTCTTCTTTATATGATTATTTTGCTGTGGTCTGCCCCAGAGTCATAAAGTGTGCTGTTGTGAACTTTTTAACACATACTGGAAAGCTAACCGAGCCATGTCAGCTGACCTCAGTTTTTCCTCTCTTTTTGTCTTTTGGCCGTCACTTGTTCCAGGATGCTCTGTCATCTTTCTGATGCTACTCTTTCATTTTTCCTTAATGTCAGTGTACCTTTTGAACTTGTGTTTTCTTTGTCCCACTGCTGTCATCTGATCTGATATCTCACCTCTTGGTGGGAGTAAATTTCTTATATCTTAAAGACTCTTAAGTGAGGCTTAAATTATACCTGGTATCAGTACTTTCATATCTTTACCCAAAATGTGTCTTTTTAATATCAAACGCAAATGTAGGCTTGAAAAGTTGCATTTAAAAAGTCTGTTGTTTCCTTCTCCACAGAGAAATACCTGTGGTTGTCATTTAAAGACAGATTTTGGGTGAAGTATAACTTAAAAATGTCATTTTCTACAACATAAAGTATAATGAGGTAGCCTTAATTCTGGTCGTTAGTTCTTCTAGAGCATAGCATCTTTCTGAAATAAACATTTTTAACCTGTTTTGAAATGTCAGATATAAGAATCACTGTCACAAAGTAATCATTTGGACTCAAAGGAATTGCAGTGGTTGAATTAGTCTGCAGAGATGTTGAGTGCCTGTTGTATACAATGTTCAATGAATAACCAAATCAGTGTATCAGCAGTTTTGCAAAATGTCAGCACATTTTCATTTCATCTTTTTATATATATATGTGATTTTATATAAATGCTGTCCTAAATGAAGTAGCCAATTGTTCATGTTTTGTTACTGTGTCAAAATGAATAACACTTTGATTCTTCTACCATTAACTTTTTTATTTTTTTAAATGGTGAGTTGTATGTGCCAATAAAACACCCAAACCTGACTTGCTAGAATGCGTTCAGAGTTTTACACGGTTTTCTGGGATAAGGAGGCATCGTTGTGATTGAGCCAGATCCAGGAATTTATGTGTTAGTTAATGAGTCAGCAAGACAACACACTGTGGAACTAGTTTATTTTATGGTTTATTGGTTTACCATCTTTCTTCCTTCTTCCACTTTGGTACATATTTGCACTAGAATGGTACAAAGCTGGTCTTCAAATGTAGCATTACTTGGAAATGGTTGGCAGTAGTTATTGTAACTACTATAAATTACTAATTTGCTCTGACTGTGGTACTGTAACTTACAAATCTGAAGCACTAGAAGGTGTCAGTTGGATGAGCACATAGGCAACTGTTTGGTAGCATTTTAGCCATATATATATATATATATAAGTTATAAGTTGTCAACTTAATGTGGAGATGTTCTGCCCCCAAGTGGTTGAAAAATCCAATGCAGCTTTAAGATTTGTGTACTTGTTAGTAAATGGGCAAAGACCCCTCAGACACAGAAAATGAAGATGACTGCCACATTCTGCCACTTTGGCAATGAGCATGGCTCAACTGAAAAGCAACTTTAACTAATACTGTGTGTGGTATCAAGGTTTACCTGATGCTAAATGTAAACAGGTATTTCTCTAATGAAGAAAACTTTTAACATAAGCAGGCTGCCACTGTGGCTATCTCCTAATGTTTTCATCCAATTATACTGAAATTTAATTTATATGCCTTAGGCATAACTGACAGCATATGGTTTTGCTTGTGAATGCAGAAATATGCTGATGCACATTACCTAACAAGGGTGGTTGATGAAAGTAAGGCTGAATGTAAATGAAAACAACCAAACTGTTGGTAGAGTCCCGCTGTATTTTATTTTAGCTAAACCAATTAAAACAGTAGAAGATTATTGGGTTTGTATTACAGGTAACAATTGGTGAATTAAGCATAATAAATCTTCAAATGTGTCCTGGTCCTGTTATCATAATGCTGTTGATACTGAATCTGTCTTATTTACAGCGCTGTTTCCTGAGGGTAAACAGCGCCCACTGCTGGCAACAACGCAACGTGACCGGGAAGGCTGGGCTAAAGTGGTAGCTGAGGTGCTTCGGGTTGCCAGGTATGGTTCCAAGCTTCACTTACTACGATTAAAGGTGCCATTGAAAGGCAAGTCGAAAGTAATCGAGATAACAATTTCATTACGTGGGTTATATTATAGTACAGTTTCTACGAAGTATTATAGGAAAACGGTCGTCTCTTTACGACGTCTATCATCCGAAATGTATCAGGAGTTAAATCGTGCTCGGGGTTTTAGGGGGATGAATCAATCAAACCTGGTGCCCCGTCATAACCAGACGTCAGTGGTCTGCGGCTGTAACGTTTAGTGAGTTTGCTGCTAGCTTTTGTTCGAGGAGCATTAAACTAGCTAACGAATAGCTATCAACACATCAATTTACGGAGTGTAAACGATACAGACCTGCCTTTAATACACACAAGTGTGAGACGTTGTTCAGCTCGGTGAGTATATTCATCACATAAGACACCAGCACATACTGAAAAATACTACCAAGCTAGCTAGCTAACGCTGTACATGTGATAGACTGCTTGCTCTAAAAAACCCATTAGCATGTCTCCTTGTTTACAAAACCCATTTCAGATGGCGACTTGTAGCCTTCGCGACGTTATTTCGTTCTTTAATGCTTTTCGATCAACGTTTTTTTTTCTTTACTGTCGATAAAATAATTGTCGTCCTAACAGATATTTACACGGAGCATCCAGCATATGTCTGCTAATGCTCGCAATGTTTATACTTATGAAATCGTTACTTCTGTGTGGCTGCATAGCTTTGTTTTGTTGATTGACTTAATTAACTCACCGGTTAAAGTGTAAAGTTTCAAGATACAATTTTCTGAATAGAGGTTGTGTCGCAACAGAAAGCAGCAAACTTATTTAGTCTTTTGGCCCCATCGAGGGTGAAATTGTGCCGGACGTATTTAAATCCTTCTAACACTGGACCCTTTATGCGCCCACTAATGTAAACCATAGGCATTCAGACATGTGTGTATTTTGTATTGTGTTCGGTTTGTTCAAGGAGTTAACCACGAGCACTACATAGAACAGAAGTCAGTTTGATTGGTGAAACATTGGAAGTTGGGCTGTTTAGTGCCCTGCGGCGCAGTGTGAGACACTGTAGGCAGATTCTTCAGTGTCTGTAGATTGATTGGGTTGGGGGTACTTTCTAGCTACTAATCTGTGCTCGCCCTGAGGTAGGATGCCATTTTTGTGGCTTGGTGTTATATTGACACAAGTGGTCCCAGCTTGTCTTTTACAGCCCTGCCCTAACCAGTGGGACTATTTTTACAGCCCTGGGTCTAAACCAGTAGTGATTAGCTGTATTGTTTTCTCTCACAGACTGGGATCCTGCCCCGAGCCGGAACTAGTGATTGAACCCCCTCTTGTTTGATTAGACCAGCCAGGGGCTTTTAATTAGATTTGTTTACACTTGAATCACTTATTTAAGCCCATATCTGAAGTTTTTATCTACTGTGTCATTAACACTAAGCAGGGGGGAGGCTTGTGACCACACACATAATATGAAAGTGAAGATGGGGATATTGTGTAATTTCTTATAAATATTGTGTTTTTTTTTATCTTTCCCAGAAAACTCCCTTTGATTTGAGCCCTCTAAACAATTGTAGTTATATCCTGCTTTGTTTCTAAACTTCCACCAAAGCTTTGTCACCATCTTTACTGTATTTTAGTCAGACAGAGCACTTTCCAACTGAAGGCATAATGAGCAACTTGGTGCTAAAACTTTAGGGATAGAGACATCTGCAGTACATGCAGTACGAGCTGTACATGTTCAGTGATTTTTCACAAAAGTTCAATTGTCTCTTCCTCTACACATTTCAATTCTGTCACACAATGATCATAATATTCATTAATCAATTAACTTGAAAGGCCGCCATAAGTATTCTTTGCTAGGGTTACAGTCTCCATACAGGAGATGAGGGCATCAACAGGAGAACCAGATGACTTAAATTATACTCAGTTGACTTGATAGTTAAAAGCAGGTTTAGATATCATCACCACAAGAACGCCATGGGTCTGTCTTGAATCTGGATTTATTTGTACACTACTGAGCCATTTAATCTGCTTGTTTGTGCTTCTCTGTTGAACCAAGTCTGTAATTGGACTAAGTGCTGTCAGGTAGGACACAAATGCTTATCAAGGGTGTTTAACTTGTTTTTGCTGTGTGATGGGAGTGTTTGATTTTAATGACAGCCTGACAATAGAGGTTTGACTGCATTAAATGAAAAAAGTCTGACTATGTAAGTATTTACACACGCACACTCACATACTGCTGCTTACTGCGTAGCTGCACGCTCAGCTCTGGAACATGTTGCACACGTGCTCTGTACAGCAGTAAAGCTTAGCAGTCTAGAGAGTAGCTGGTCCACAGTGAACTAACAGTAAGTGAGTGGGTTATGTAAAGGCTAATTGATGAAGCCAGTTCCCCAAAATCAGGATGGGTGACTGCTGAAACATAAAAAAAAAAAGAGTAATTTCATAAATAAACAAAACAACATGTATTAGTTGTCTCGTTTATTCATCTGGTCAAAGGTTTGAGCCGGCCCTGCAGGAAGGGAGGTCATCTTATGTAACCTGGGCTGGACCCTCAGTCGGCCTGGAGCTGGTTCGCATGAGCTCTTGTGTTGAGTTTTTCCAAGTGTGTGTGTGTGTGTGTGTGTGTGTGTGTGTGTGTACGCACGCCTTTATGTTTTGTTGGTAGCTGTGTGCCTGTTGATGTGTATTATATTACTGGGTTGCCCAAGCCTGGGGTCAGAAGGAAATGATCCTGTACCTGCCGAGAAGAATTTCCTTTTTGATGCAGCCCAGGAGGATACAGAGTTGTGTGTGTGTTGGAGAGTCGTATATCATACACAGTTTCAGGTCAGTTCAGGCTGGTTAGCTGGTTGTTGTAGTGGTTGGTCTCTCTGTCTGTCTACCTGGACGGGTCTTTGTGCGAAGTAAGATGAGTTTCATTGCAGCATAAATAGCAGAACTATGTTTGTTGAAAGTTTGCTTATAGCAGCTCATGGTGTATTGGTTATATGCTGACTCCGCTGGGATCTGTGGTTGGTTGTTGTTGGCTGTTTTTGTATTACTCCATACACCATGTCATCCTTGCAGGTAAGATAAAGCGTTATCTCGGTGTACAGGCTCTATCTAGCAACAGAGTTGTTCCCAGAGGGCACCACATGCTCCTCATGAGTTGTTAAATGAGGAAGGAGTGGTTAATACCATATTATACATCTCATCATCTGCAGGCTGCGCCCAACCCCTCCCTTCCTTCCCCTTGGCAGAGCAGAGGAAACAAGAACATTTCAATGAACACTGCATGAAGGCATAGAGACGGAAACAAAGCCTACGTGATATTATTTTCCTAAACCTTGATGATGTATAGGGTTAGAAAATTAACTCATTTGTTATTTTTTTCTGCAGTTGGTTTATCACTGAACAGCAGATCTCAAAAACATATCAACAGAACTGAGTGATTATATCAGGGCTGATATTGAAGATATGGAAGGAAGATATGCAAAAGGAAATAAAAGCTGTGCTGTAAAGTGCAGCAATAAATGTTTATAGGTTATATCGTTATGTATACTGCCCAGACTGTAAGGGTTTGGATATGTGGTCTAGAGGGTATATGGTCTTAATAACACAATCTTCCTTTTACAAATGAAAAGCTGAACAAATAAGCAATAAAACTACCCCTTTCTAGAATCAGTACACTCAGGGGCTTTATTATTTCAGTATTTTTTTGATGACTGTGTTTTGGCATTTATTATCCTAGAGGTGCCACTTGGTTAGCATAGGTTCACTTTGATATATATATATATATATATATATATATTTTTTTTTTTTTTTCGGTTCATTTCTTAGAATGATTTGATTTCCAAGTAACCTTACTATTTACTTTTCTCTTATATTTACTTCATTTGTAA